GCTGTTTTTCTTTTCTTTCTTTTTTTTACTGCAGAACGCTTCCCACAGATGATCAGAACGCTGAGCATCCTATCACGCTAAAACATTATGAAAGGTTAAAAAAAAAAGTCGGGTTCGGGTTGGGCCAGAGAATCCTGAAAACCTTTTCGGACCGGGTCGGGCTGGGGCTCCTCCCCCTCGGGCCGGGCCGGACACGGGCTCAGATTTTAGGCCCGTGCAGGGCTCTACTTCAGACAGTCGTAGAGCCATCAGAGAAAACTGACCATTGAGGACACAGTTTGTTTAACTCATTCGCTGCCAGTGACGACTAAAGTCGTCATTTGCATTTTTTTACTGTGTGGGTGTCGGACGAGCCCCCACACTGTGAGAACAAACATCTCAGCTCTAAAGCCGATCTTCATCCGCGTACGTCACACATCACTTGATCAGGAAGCAGAACATCCACGTGTTAGGAGATCGTTTTGGGCCGCTGCTGTAAAAAAGTGAGGCGCTAACCGGAAGCTTCTGCCGATCACAATTCAACAACGGATTATGAAAGAACGGATAACGCTTGAAACGCGCGAATTCTTCCTGATGTAAGAGGTGAGTCTCCGCTTTGTTTTGGCGTCGACATCATCCTAGCGCGCAATGTTCTGTCACTCTTAAAAAAACAGTAAAAATGGTGAGAAACGCTGGCAGCGAAGGGCTTTACCGATCAGGAAACGGCCGGCAGGGAATGAGTTAATATTCATGTCCTGGCTGAGTGGGAGGGGAAAACCAGTCTTACCATTATAGAGCTTTATTATGGGGTTGTGTTTGGCCATTAATCAGGACTCCCGGGTCATTTTAGTCCCAACAAAGTTTCATATGTTTGATAGAAACTCAAATAAGTTTCCTATTGTAACAAATGCGTTCTCTGACCCCTTTATTGAAACTCTCAAGAAGTTCTCATCAGATGTGCATGTCCATTTTGGACATGTCTCAACCGCTAAGTGATACTAGGAAACAAAAATAGTCCAAATTTAGTCCGTCTGAAAGACGTCGAGCTAAAGTTTGATTCAAACTTCATGTGCACAGAAGAAGAAGAAGAAAGGATTTTTTATACAGAACCTCTCAAGATAAAAATTACGAGCTGCTTCACAAGAACAGTAAAAATAAAAAATAAAGATCTCTATGAAAATCTGAGAAAAAATGAAAAATGAGGATAAAAGTGGAATGAGAATAAAAATGACAAAAGTAAACATGACTGCTTGTGTTGGAGCTTGCAGAGAGCATTTGCACTAGAGGTTTGCTAGTTAGTCGTAATTTTGTTCTCGTGGCGTTACCGCGGCAATTGTCTCCTGCAAAGGTTAGAAATCATTATCCAAATACTTGCATGACTTAATATTTTATGCTTTTAGGTTATGAAAACATTTACATACATTTTTAATAATCCCCTTTGTGCAAATCGTACCTCTGGATAGAAATCTATCCCTCTCTTGTGCAGGCATACTTTCACAAAGCTAATATCTGAGTCTGCGTTCAAGAATGACCTCATCCTCCTGAGAGCCTGGTGTCGGGTTTCATACGGAGCAGACAGACTCATTGTCCAACTCGACACAAACCCAGAAACCTCCTCAGTAGAGCAGAAGCAGATAAAATGTTCATGCATGGGAGGAAAAGCTGTGGGGCCAGTGTGGGGCTGCAGGAGCACATTTGGGGAGTGAGTCCAGCACATCGCAGCTTTTATTCTACAAACAACATCTGGCTGAGCTCACATCTGTATGACCAAATCGGCTCTCATTGATCCTGGAGAGCATCTGGTTCTCTTAGAGGCGTGTGTGAAATATAGAAGCGTGTTTTAGGACATTGGTGGTGTATAAAAAACAAGCAGAATGCTTTAGAAACTTGATTAGGCGTTCTTTTCTCTCAGAATAAACTGTTAGTGTTTTTTTATTGCTGGAATTGCAGCTTTTTGTGTCTTGTTTCCTCGGTAACCAGCTGTTATAAAGTGTTTATTCATAACTAGTTAAACCACGTGTCAGACACAAGGCCCGCATTTTTATGTGGTCCACGAGATAAATATCAAAAATATATTAAAACTGACCCGCTGGCTGATTTTACTGCAAAGACTACAACTCCCATGATGCTTTGCGGCGTTAGCGCGGAGCCGAAGCGCCACCTCCTTTGTGTTTTTTGCAGCGTCTGCTGCCGGTGTCTGCAGCTCGCCAAACTAAACACTCCTCTCACTCAGCGCCGAGTTTACTCAGCTATTTGCCGATGTTGAAGCCAAGCCCCCACAATGCGGGACAGAAATTGAGGCCAATGCAGAAGTGAAATAAATTGCAGTTCCACCCTCATCCACTAGGGGCTGATCCTCATTGACTCCCATGTTAAAAATACCAATTTCACAGCAGAAATAAACATGTTTACAGCCTGGTACCAGAACATGTTTTAGGTTTAAATGATCTAGTTTACACTCATGACAACTCTGAGGGGGGTGAATTTTTTTCTCACTCTTCTGTTTAACCCCCAGAAACCC